CTTAATAAGACCGCTAGGCTATGAGTCCCCCTGAGCATGAACTTTATCATATTGAAAGGAAGATTTGAATACATGGATTTGGCTACTGTTAACTGGTAACATGATAGAGACCATGGATTTTATTTCTTTGTAGAACTCTAAAATTACTGAACTAATATTTTTTCACCAATATATAGGACTATAGGTATATTATCAGCCAGCAACAGCAACACTACGAGGTAGGAAAGATCAAAAAATACAGCTTCCCTCAGTTTGGTTGAACGCCTGTCTCGAAATCTTATTTGTTAGAATCAATTTTGTACTAAACAGTCCAATTAGAGTATATTATTACGCCACAAACAATTAACGTAGGTGAAATTTATAATATATTAGCAGAGCAAAATAATTCCAATAATAATTAGACCTCATTTGTTCACTATTAATTCTCGGAACAGCTTATAACCAGTGAATTAGATTCTTATCATGTAGAGGGCAAACTTGTGACTGACCTGACGTTGATTACATTTGAAAAAGGCTAGACGCATGGTTTTACTTGCATTAATGATATTCAAATAGCTTTATAGCTGCCGCTTCATTACTAAACGTTGGCTATTAACACCTTGAATTGCCGGGTATCATGCGTTAATCTAAACAGTTCCTCGGCGAATGTGATGCTGTTTTACTCCCGCACGTTCCCCAATTGCGACTTCTTCTGACCAGCCCGTCATTTGCCTTGAAGTTTGCTTTGCTATAAGGTGCTACAAGCCGTACCGATGATGACGCACTTTCTGTAATTTAACAGTCGGAATAAACTTTCGTGTCGTGCCCATTTCAAGAACTCTTTCATTCGTCACTCTTCTATGATGCATGCGACGGTTACTCATCTTAAAAGCTTTGAGGCGCCTTCTTGTGACATCTTTAATAGTGCCCCACAGCCGTATAATGCTACTGGCTAATGTAACAGAGTAAGCTATAATGTGGCATTGTGGTGGTGTGGATGTAGTAGGTACTTTTTCCTAGGCTAAGTTGAGTATACTCGGCATTAGCCACCGGGGCCATGCCGACCAGTCTGTGGTTAGACTGGTCGAGGATTATTCTCGTTAGATTAGAGGAACTCGTCCCCCGACCATGGAAGGACCTCCACAAATTGTGTTCTATGATCTGTACTAATAATTAAATGTAATGCTATACATACTATCAATTCATACAAAACGTTGTCCAAATATGTTCTATTTACGACTCGTTACAATTGTCTTTTAAAAGGGAAACATTCCTTTTAAAAATCTTTTTTAAAAGTGTACTATGGAGAGTTTTCTAAAGAGTTGTTTGGGTTGATCCCTCGTGCCTCGTTGCCTGCCGTACAAGCCGTATTAACTCAAAATATCATCCGTATTATCTTGGTGGCTGGTCTAGCATACTCCTCCCCCAAAGGCCGGCTACGCACCCACTAAAGTATCCCTGACTGCTCTTTTTGGGCGTCCTATAGGCTTGTTTACCCGCCCTAACCTATAAAAACGTCTTTCTCACCAAGAATCAATCTACAGTAAACACATCGATGACATAGGGTTAAAAAACCTATGCTAATTTCTTGGTATTTCATAAACAAATGATTCACCATCATTCCTAAACTACCGCAATTGGGGAATCACTTTTATCACCAACACTTATCTATGTAGACATAGAAATGACCTTTATGGTTATTATATAAGGTCGAATATTCTATGAATGTTTTATCTCAAGTGTATTTTTATTTACGTACTGTACTATTTAAACTGAAGAATTCACGAAGCTCATCAGAAAGAGTAAACAGACCGTAGAAATGAATTTTTCAAGAATATTTTTCTTTGTTTTCGCTTTGCAAGTCCAAAATGGAAGGTTTTGAAGAAAATCGTAAGTTACCAATTTATTATACCTACTAGAAATAACTAATTTTTATCTTTTTACTAAATAAATAGGTTAAGATATTATAAACACTTCAGAGGTATACAATTATTTGATGTGATATTAACATATATATGTATCAACACATCAATTATGATTTAATAAAAACTTATATCGAAGTGACATTCAGTTTTTTCAAAAGTTAGGAAAAAGAAGAATTCAAATAATGCTCTGTAATTTGCTTTTATTTCTTAAAGCATTAAAATGCATTTTAGTTTTGAACTATGAAAAACAAAAAAAAATACTATTTATTCGTAAAATTATTTCATATTTATTCGTTTAATATATGAAAGTTAATAATATGTTCGGAGAGCAATCTATTCCAAAATTTTACAATAACTTATGATGTATCGATTTTTGGATCCCATATTTATAGTCTGTAAGCATTCTATTACCAATAGTCATTAATTGCAAATTATGCATTGTTTGCATACATATTGAAGTGTAGTACACTCAGTTTTATTTTAATTTTTGTCTTCCTAGATTTTATTGTAATAAAACCGTAGGTATACCTTTTAAATAAACAATATTAATAAGTGTTTTAAAAAAAAAAATTGAATTTGCCCACTGGCATCTTTTTATAAATATATGCCTCCAGTAATTTATACTAGTAGTATAGTACTTACTTTCATTCCTGTATTTTTTTTCTACCTAAATTATATATTAAAAATTCACTCTCATGAGACCATTCCTTGTGAAATTTTCCTTAATATCTTAAAAAGCTATGTATATCATACAAATTGTAAAGTTCATGTTTTTGCTCAACTTGTATATAATTTTCCAGGAAAAAGTGGGCCGCAATGTCCGAAATGGAATAATAAAGGCAGGACCAGCTGTTGCCGTGGTCGGACAAGCGTCTGGAATAGTCGAAGGATGAGGATGGAATAAATTATTAAATATTTGTGTTATATCCCAATAAAAGTATTATTTTAATATTTCTTATAATTTAGAAAATATCTTTAAGATGCTTTAAAATATCTTATTCTAAAATATTGATTTTAAAGTACCAGATGATTAATGCGTTACCAACGAACTACTTTAAGCGACAACTAAATACCATATCATATTTTATTCATATCCTGTGTGAAATAAGGTTTATTTTATAGGTTGAAAATACTTACAACGTAAAAAACTATTATTACTTAAGTCTATCAGATTAAAAACAATTTTTAATACAGTTCATACAGAGGCACTTTCTTCCATAACCAGTGGCGTAACAATAGGGTGGCAGGACTGGCAAAATGCTACGGGCCTCCGACCCAAGAGGGCCCCTGCCCAAGATATATTTTGTTCTATGGATGAACGTGAAGTCTCCACAACGCATGGGCTAGCGTGGGGACTACAGAACATTCCCTCTCGCCTAAGAGAGGAGGCCTATGGCCATTAGTGGGACATATACAACGTGTAATTGAGTACGCTTAAAATCTCGAAGTTTATTAAAATTAAACTGAGTAGCATCTTTACTGATAGGGCCCCATCAAAAGAATTGCCACGAAAGAAGATTTGCCACGGGTCCTAGATGGTATAGTTACGCCACTGCCCGTAATGCTTTTGGCCTAAGATAGCTGCTTCGATTCATGCTTTTATTTACTTAAAAAAGTATATTTAAGTATGTTAATACTAATAATAATAGCTGAATAGATATTTTGATGTGGTAGATTTAAAAATAAATCTGTATTTAATATGCAGATGAGTTGAGAATGGCGCGGTTACGCAAAAGCTCGATAACAATACATTTGAGTAGAAAAGTGCATTAAATATTTTGTCAGCATAAAACGTAACTCACACAATGAAATTTATACACTTTAAATATGTCAGTCCCATTTCCATACTAAAATTTCAACGTGAATTTAACAAAAAGCCCTTTCAAGTTCCGTAATTAAAATGAACCCTCACTTTAGTACGGTTAAATAAATTTTCCGGATTATGACATAATTTCTTTTATTATTATATCTGCATGAATTGAGATTTTTCATTTTCATGTGACTGTTTTGGACCTGGTAATACTTAAAAAAGGTATAAATGTGGATTTTTTTTTTTATTGGGGAAAACCAGCAGAAACCTCAAATGATGTTATTCCATGTCACCTGGTTCACCACACCCACAAATCCGGTAGGCAAGGCCTTTTAGGAACTCGTACCTTCTTTTCTTTTCTTATTTGCTTCGAAAATACTTCCATGAGCGGCTTGTACGCGATTATAAAAAAAACCATCGCGCTACGGCCTTATAGTTCAGTTTCATAGATCATTTGTTTTTTCTTATAAATTCTCATAAATACTAAAAACTTTTTTAATATGCACGTTATAGGAATTAGAGTTGCTGTGAGTACAATGAAATTCAACTATATAAATGCATAAAGACCTAATCCGATTCTTCATTATTATTAAAGTATATTTTGTATGTTACGTACTCGTATATGTTATTTATATTCTGGACGTAAAATCATTAAAGAACATTAAATTTATGTATATCTTTATCATACCAGATATGTCATTTAAGTTTCTATTAATTCAATTGTGTTCGAAAGGAAAGGTGTTCGTGATTTTGTAATTAGTCCTTAAAATTCCATGACAACCACGCAGATAGATATGATCTTGCTTTCAACACCAATTGACCTAGTCCCATGCTAAGCTGGTGAAGCTTGTGTTATGGGTACTAGGCAACGGATATACATACATATTATAGATAGATAGACATATAAATACATATTTAAACACCCAAGACCTAAGCACAACACCAAATGCTCATCACATCGATGTTCGTCTCAGCTGGGGATCGAACCCGGGACCCATGGATTCGCAGTTAGGGGTACTAACCACTAGACCAATGAGTCGTCAAACATACACATTAGTGGAGCTACACAGTATATATAGTATACAATCAAAATTAACAGCTAAAGAAAATGTATTCTTGATATAATGAATAAATATATGTTAAAAAAGCTATGCTTATGATAATCACGAATTCATAAGTATTAAAAATGTTAACTACTAGTTATTTATAACTGTAACTATTTTTTTAAATATTTAATTGTTTGACGGCACACCCCTGGCCTTAGAGACAAAGTAAGTAAAAAAATCCTAAAAATCCTTCCCTAACATTGCCCACTGTTTCTGAAGATAAACAATTATGTTAAGTTCTATTTTTATGAGGTTGGTCGTATCTTTGCCCAATTCCCTTTCCTCTACCTTTAAAATAAGCGTCATATGTCTTAAAATGGCTTGACATTTTTTTTTTTTTTATTGCTCTGGCACGGTTTGTGCATTAGCCAGCGTCAAGTATGAGATTTTTATCATTCGTGCTTTTTGCCTTAGAAATTCGATCATATACTCCATGTACGGTTTAGGCACTCGCCTGGTACCGCACAACTCTCCCAAAGGCCAAGAACAAATTTAAATTAAATTAAAACTTGCCCTCGAACCGGGAATCGAACCCGGCACCCCTCGCCTAGCTGCCACTTAATAAGACCGCTAGGCTATGAGGCCCCCGGCTTGACATTTGAATCAAATCAAATCAAAATACGTTTATTCAATTTAGATGCTTCTGAGAGCATGCTTATGAATGTCAACAACGTTTACAAAATTCACGAAAGAGCAAGACTACGCCATTCGTTCGCAAAACTACCAGGAGGCCTTGTTCTGAGAAGAACGGGCAAGAAACTCAGCAAGTTTTGCCCTCCCTTTACATTACAATTATTCAAAGGAAAATGTTATAAACCACAACGTCGTGACGTGAAGAGTGGCAAAGTTAGGCACATTTGCACCTAACTTTACCCGCCTCTTTATTTTCTATTTTTAGAGAAACTATGGAGAAATTAAGATTTATAAGTATTTAAATCAACTCCAAAATGGCGTCATTAACGTATTAGAGATTTTACTTAATTGAACTTTTTGGGAAGGGTTAATAAACTGTAAAAAGCGGGCAATGTTGGAGGTTTTCACGGTAATAATTTAAATTATCTTAGGGATTTATTTTAAACTAGATACCTACCGAATAAATGACAAATAACTTAATTTACAAACCAAATTTTCTTCTGATGATGAATTAGCCTTAATAACATTAGCTATATTTAAAACCAACGCGGATTCTGAATAAATAGATATAATATATAAAAACACATGACGAAAAGTAATTAACTATAAGAGTATATCTGCGAGGGATTCACTGTGTCAAAGAGAGTCGGGAGTTCCCAACTGACCCCGGTTATCACGAACAAATTAGTACGTTCTTACAAAATAACGCAGCGCTATTATAGTCTTTATATCATTACAATAAAGACGTTAATTACTCGACAGTCATCTTTTACACGCAGATGTAATGTTGCCGACATAATGCAAATGAATACTACTAAAACGCCGTGCGATATCTATTATGAGCTTTATTTTAATGAAGATAACGTTCAGTTTATATCAATGATTGTTTTCAAGTGGTTTGCTACGTTTGTCGTTAACATACAATATAAACTACACGCATTGCAAGAATCATTAACACTTACAATTTTCTTGAAAATCTTCCATTTTGGCGCCGCCGACACCGAGCTCAAAGCCAAGACACAGGCGAAGACGAAGAAGAACAATTTTCCGAAATTCATTTTTGATTTTTTTTACTTCCTTTGTCACTAACAAGTTATGAAGCGTGCTGCTTGTTGTATTGTGAAGATTCTTGCAAAGCGTGTAGTTTATATTGTATGTTAACGACAAACGTAGCAAACCACTTGAAAACAATCATTGATATAAACTGAACGTTATCTTCATTGAAATAAAGCTCACAATAGATATCGCACGGCATTTTAGTAGTATTCATTTGCATTATGTCGGCAACATTACATCTGCGTGTAAAAGATGACTGTCGAGTAATTAACGTCTTTATTGTAATAATATAAAGAATATAGTAGCGCTGCGTTATTTTGTAAGAACGTACTAATTTGTTCGTGATAACCGGGGTCAGTTGGGAACTCCCGACTCTCTTTGACACAGTGAATCCCTCGCAGATATACTCTTATAGTTAATTACTTTTCGTCATGTGTTTTTATATATTATATCTATTTATTCAGAATCCGCGTTGGTTTTAAATATAGCTAATGTTATTAAGGCTAATTCATCATCAGAAGAAAATTTGGTTTGTAAATTAAGTTATTTGTCATTTATGCGGTAGGTATCTAGTTTAAAATAAATCCCTAAGATAATTTAAATTATTACCGTGAAACCCTCCAACATTGCACGCTTTTTACAGTTTTTTAACCCTTCCCAAAAAGTTACAGCATATAAAATACCCTTGAATATCTAATACGTTAATGACGCCATTTTGGAGTTGATTTAAATACTTATAAATCTTAATTTCTCCATAGTTTCTCTAAAAATAGAAAATAAAGAGGCGGGTAAAGTTAGGTGCAAATGTGCCTAACTTTGCCACTCTTCAAAATATGTCAAGCCATTTTAAGACATATGACGCTTATTTTAAAGGTCAAGGAAAGGGAATTGGGCAAGGATACGACCAACCTCATAAAAATAGAACTTAACATAATAATTGTTTATCTTCAGAAACAGTGGGCAATGTTAGGGAAGGATTTTTAGGATTTTTTTACTTACTTTGTCTCTAAGGCCAGGGGTGTGGCGTCAAACAATTAAAATATTTTATTTATCGAATTATCAACTTTATTGAAATAAAAAAAGAACTATTTTTTATACCTTTATCGTCGTTGATATTGCAATACGTTCTATGTTAGATTAAAAAACAAAAAAATTATAAAGATGTTTTTCATCATATTTTAACGTATAACGTGTTTTCTAAATTGAATAACTAAATAATTGTGTCGATTATACATATATATATATCTATAAACATCGATAAAAGTTACCATATCCTGAATTTATAAGCGAATAACTGTAACACAATGGCATTTTTTTCTTGTTTGACCAGTTCTCTCTATAATACCCTCCTTTTTACTGTAATGGAAAAAATTAAAACTAAATATCTCGGTTTGACTCTCGACGAAACAATAAAATTATATTTTTTGATCATAAAAAAACAAAGAGAAAATTAGCAGTAGATTTCTATTATCTAAAGATAATTATGGCGTGATTTGAGTCATAAACGTAACGTAGTAGTAAATACTATTACTGTGTTGCGCTGTGCATGATATTAATTCCCTCTGTACTAGTACCTAGTTTACTAAGTCATGGGCTGCTTTCATAAGAAAAAATTTAATTGTTTTCTCAGAAAAGTGAAATTAACATAATTCTGGTTGAATGTCCCAGCTATAATTTTTTAGGCGTCATTTCATGTTGTCTAAAAATTCGTATTATAATTCAGAGGGAATCGGGAGATCCCTGACGACCCCCGTTATCACGAACAAATAAGTAAGTTCTAACAAAATAACGTAACGCTATTATAAACTTTATTCAATTGAAATAAAGATGACACTTACTCAGGAGTTAGCTCTTGGACGCAGATGTTATGTTGCCGTCATAATACACACGAATACTACTAAAATGCCGTGCGTTATCTATTGAGAGCTTTATTTTAATAAGAATAACGTTCAGTTTATATTAATATTGGTTTTCAAGTGGTTTGCTACGTTTGTCGTTAACATGCCATATAAACTAGACGCATTGCAAGAATCTTCACAATACAAAAAGCAGCACGGTTCATAACTTGTTAGTGACAAAGGAAGAAAGAAAAATCAAAAATGAATTTCGGAAAACTGTTCTTCTTCGTCTTCGCCTGTGTCTTGGCTTTGAGCTCGGTGTCAGCAGCGCCAAAATGGAAGATTTTCAAGAAAATTGTAAGTTTTAATGTGACTATTTTGGCTCTAAGCCCTAACTCTACTGCAATTTAACTACATTTACACTTATCTACACTGTCAATAATTCAGACGATTGGAGTACTTAATTATATTTTTTCTTCTTCAATTTAATATTCTTTTGGGCTTATTATAAATATATGACAATAAAAAAAATATTGATACGAAATTTCTTATGATAACGTTCATAGGATGAGGTCTAATATTACCAATTGGTACTTGCTCATTAATTTTTAAAAATTCTCAGGAACACATGGGTCAAAACATTCGTGATGGTCTCATCAAGGCTGGCCCTGCAGTTCAAGTCGTGGGTCAAGCCGCAACAATCTACAAAGGAAAATAGAGAAACAAGAAGAATGATGCTATACCAAAAATAAGGAGTTATTTACAATACGAATTCAAGACCAAAACTTTGAGCAGAAAGGAAGTTATCGATTTTCAATACCTTGAAGCCTCGATCTCTTACTTTGGAAACAAATGGTTTTTAACAAAATCATGTACAAGTTCGTTTATTTTATATCAGCGGGATTGCTCTGTAACCGATACCATACGCTAGGATTGGAATACTATGTAGTGGAACATGGTACCAGCAGCGGTGGCTGATGGAACTATTTGGCCCTATGTATATTATGGTTATGATTCTATTGTATATGATTATCTGTACTTACTGCCCATATACTCGAAATAGTTTATTTAAATGTAAGATAATAGTATTACTTGTAAATAAATATTTAAAGTCATGTTTGAATTTTAATTGTTCCTTTTATCCATTCTAGTGTTAAAGTCCCATCAGGTCACATCCAAAAATATTCTTAACAGGATCGTCACCTCCTAGTATATAAAACAATATTGCATAAAATATTTTATTCTCCTATAAGATCGACTCGATTAAGAAACATTGTTATTTTATATTATATTCAGTGCATTTTGAAGTCGGTTATTAATGATATCATTTGTTGTTATATGTGGGTTCAATATCAATTACCAGACCTCAGTTAGGTAATTCTTTCACCTTTCCTTCAATATCCTACTTGTGTTGCCTGAGAGAGAGAGAGATCTTTTGTAAGTTAGACGACCTGTTTTTCTCCTATTTTATGATTGTTTTGTACTTTAATGCAACGCAGAGTAAAAAAACAAAAAAAAAATAAATTACGTTTACGAATTAATTTATTAAATCTCTCATGAATTCAGTAAACCTCCGTTAATTCTAAGAACAATTATAATCAACAAATTAAGGAATTAAGCCTTCACTCCTTCAGTGGTCGTGTACTTGTATTAATTATAATCACTAAATTTTTCTCTACTTTATAAGACCTTCTGTCGATGCAAAGTGGTGGATGACCTGTAACACAGGTACTCTTACCTTTAGCAGGCATCAGTCTCACACAAACTAGCATTTTCCCTAAACAGAAGTAAGACAATTATTTATTTATAATAGTATATAACTGTCACTTGTTTATGTACTGTTTTTGTGAGAAATGAATAAAGATTATTATTATTATTATAAAAATCTAGTGCTCGAATAAATGGTTTAAATCTTTGCATATCGAACTTTAGCTCAATAACAAACTTACTTTTAGTTGGTGATTCTAATATTGACTTAAAAAAGAATTCAACTCACAAAGATACATATTTAAAGATACTTAGCGAGCACTTATGTGTGAAATATTGAAAAAAGAACAGAAACAAATAATAATTTAATTACTCAATCTTGTATAGGTCATCCTGTCATCTTCTCCCGCGTTTCCATTTTAAGCCCGTAATTGGCAGCGTTAAAAAATACCAAAACTATCTCGAAAAGCTTAATATGGCTACGGTGAAGACTAGGTTAATGTTAATATGTTAAGGGATAATGTAAATTAAAGCCACAATCTGTATTTTAATATAACTCTTTGTACTTACTTTTAATTTGTACTATGGTTAAACATCTTTGGAAAATAATCATATAAACTTAAAAACTTTAATGATTTATATATTAATTATGAGCATTAACAAAAAGTACCACCACACGGATACCTATCCGTTTTGCCAAGAAAAGTCAAGACTTGAAATAATTTTAGTAGGTAAACAAAAAGCAACGATCACAAATAATACTTAAATAAACGTGCAATTGGCTAAATAAAATATTTCATAGAGAACTAATGACTAAAATAAAAACTTAATGTACCTTCACAAAAATCGTAAAAAAACAAATATTTTTCTTTTAACAACAAATGCACTCGCGTATTGTTTTGATTGAACTGTCATAGCAGCGCCGGTTGCGTTTGAAACGAATAAAACAAATTCCAAAGCGATATCGATTATAGATTTATGGAATAAATAGTAATTCTTCTTGCCCGCACTATGCTTCTTGCCTGGTCTTCCCATACGTACTCAAACCACAATTCTAAGCACAATAATTGTGATCATCAAAAATTATAAATTTTATATTGTAAAAAACGCCTTTTTTATTACAATTACATTTTATTTTGCACTGAAAATTTCACAATGAGTGTATTAAATAAACCTTTTACTTATATGTGTACTATCGAATTGTCGGAATTAGAGTCTGCCTAATAAAAGAAAATAACGAAAAAGCGCGACAAATTAAAAAAAAACATTAGTATGGTATCCCTAAAAGTTTGATATGTTTTGTCGATTAATTTTACTTGATTTTATTTTATTATTTTTTAGTTTGATAGTAACTATATTTCTATGAAATTAAATACTATACGTATTTAGTCTTTTACAATTGATACTTAAAATGACTAGCATTGCATGGAACCTAAAACTTTATATTTATTATAAAA